TATATATAATCTGTATATAGCTTCCATAGATATTTATTTTATAACCTCTTACAATAACTCTGTTTATAAAACCCATTTATAGTCCATGCAAACATAGTCTCTCTACACATGTAAATATATATATATATATATATATATATATATATATATATATATATATATATATATATATATATATATATATATATGATCGGTATAACTACAATATCACAGTAATCAACAACCTAAAATTGTGTTCAAATTTGATGGATGCAAAAGCAATACAAAGCTGTACAATCAAAGGCAAAAAACCCAAAATTATCTACACTAGGGCAATGACTATGAAAGGCAAAATTACTAAGAAAAAATGTAAACGTTATGACAGTCCAAAAATCCTACAACTAAAAAAATATATAACTAAAAATATTAAAATGTATGTATCTTTGATATAGGCATACGTTTGATTTTTTTTTTCTGCAATTCTGTGCTCTTTCCAGCAGATGACGCCCTAGACGACTGCCTGTCTCGCCTGTCGCCAAAGCCAGGCCTCTGCCTATTGGAGTGGCAAACCTTCCTGGCCAAGAAATACTGGCTATGAATGTATTTGAATTCACTGTTTAACCTTTAATATGCAACTTGAATGTATGTGGCATAACTGCAACCCAACCACGACAACTGTTTCATTCCTAACTGACACCCAAACAAGGAAGGCATTTATAATAGAAAGAGACAAAATGCCAGCAAAGGATTGGTGGGAAGATCAGGGAAGGTCATTTCATTATGAAAAGTTATTTAAGGCTGCAAAATAATTGAGAGGCGGTCCATCTGCTAGCAGAAAAAATAAACTATTCTAAACATTTACAACAGGTTTAGATCAAAGCATATTATGAGTGTTAAGAAAAGAAAGGGGAATATCTTACGTTGGGGAATTCAGATGTATCACTGGCAAAGAAAATAGACAATGGATGCATACCTTAGACTAAAAAAAGTTAAAAATAAAAAAAAACCTTCAAAATCATGAGGTACAAAGTCTGTAATAGTTAAAGATGTACAAACCATAGTGGTAAAGCTATTTCTTTTTACTACACCAAATATCTTATTTACTCACATCTCTTGTGGAAGTAACAGAAGTAGGTAAAGAAGAAATACTGATGAGTCATTTTTTTTTGGTATTAAGAGTGAAAACTTGTGCTGTTCTTTTGTTTCTCAAATAATCGGTTATTAACGGCTTTTATTCATCCTCACTCTGTTAACAGTGGATTTGCAGAGAGGTCTTCTTTTACCAGTTATTAAGACCTTCTTCTCAGCCCTTATTTAGTAATGGTAAGATCATTTTAATTTTTTTAGATGATTTTTAGATTTTAGATTTCTACATAATTTACTCTCACAAAAATATTTACATAAATGTTTTGTGTTTAAAAGTAAATAAAATAATTATGTCCCCTCTGAAAGTCTCTGGTAAAATTACCAGGCATAAGAAAAAAATCCACTGCATATATTTCCTTACTACTTTATTTAGTGCCCCTAACTAATGTGAAACCTGCTGTTGCAGAAATNAATTCGTACAGGTAAACTGATTTATAGTCAAGTCATTGATTTTGCAGGATTCCCTCTTCTTGACTGAGCCTGTAGCACATTTTTTCATTACATTTTGTAGCAATCTTTCATACCAATTAATTTTTGCAAAGTTCCAAACTAGTAAATATTAATATTTAACAATATTATTAACATGTTTAACCTTTGCACGGACATAGAGTACATTATTTTACTGATTTGTTGAGTATCTTTTCATTGATTTACACCTGTAATGTGACCTCTGATGTCAGTTTTCCTCACATCATGTCTTTGAATGTTCAGGATCTCCAGGGGTATAGGAGGGTACCTTGGCGGGTGTGGCTGTGTCGTTTGGGGGCCTTGTTGTCATTTGGTCTCCTCCTGATAGTCTTTCACTGGTGGCCACGGCTTGGTGTCCTTGCCCGCTGCTGCTCCTGCTCTCTGGCTTTGGCAGATTTTGTGCTGATAAAAGTAAGTGAAATAAAAGATATACGCATTAAAACTGAAAGAAAAACTATCATTAATGTAAAAATTCTAATTAATATTCTGTAGTGGTGATAAATACATACTGGATAATTCTTATTTGTACTTTATTACTTTTTTCTAAGAGATAAAACAAAATTTTATTTCTGTTTGTGATCAAAGTATTTTTGAAGTGAATTGAACTTTCCATTAGGACAGTCACGGTCAGAAACATGTTGTGGAGGTGCTCACTGAAGAGATGGAGGAGGGGAGGTGAGCTTGAGGTCTCTATTTTTTACACACATATATATACACAACTGTGCTGACTCAGCTATTTCCTCCAGTTTGGATGAGTTCTTGTTGCAGTGGGAGGAGGATGAGTGGAGAGAAACAGTTCACCTGCAACAGGAAGAGGTCAGAAGGGTTTTCTGTTCATTCTCTATATAAAATATTTTTTTCAATTAGAAAGATAATTTGAAATATTTTGCCCAGACTTTAAAGCAGCTTATGCTGTGTTTTAGAGAACGATGCTGTGCTACTTCCTGTTTGAAGGTCTACGATACATCTGGCTGGATAGGAGAGAAGATTTCTGCCCAGCTAGGTACTGAAACCGGAAAGTCTACAACTAGGGAGAACTAGAAGAATAGTCTCTATTGATAAAGTCCCAATAGTTTTATATATATATATATATATATATATATATATATATTTGGATGGTTGGAGTTATATCAGATAAGAAGAAAAAATATTAAAGAGGAAAGTTAATACAGTGTTAATGGCTCATCAATAATGAATTAGGTTATTGTATTTGCAACACTGCAAACCTCTCCCATGCCTCTCTTTAGTGTTCTCACTGAGGAATGGACTTGCAGAGCTTTGTTTGATTTTCAAAGGGGGCTAAGTCATCAGGAACAGAGCTCGAGGTATGACAAGATGGAAATGTTGGTAATGATATACAGTATGGCTTTCACCTGCTTTTTCCTAGATTAATGTTCATTTCTGCTTAGGAGACGCCTGTTTGGGGACAACATTATTGATGTACCTCTGAAGTCTTACATGAGACTTCTGATTGAGGAGGTGAGCTTGGAAAAAATATACTTTACATCATCTTGATATGAATAACCTCTACAATTTACAAAAACCCAACAAAAATCCAAGTGTTCCTGATCTACCTGATGTTGTATAGGATTTTTTCATTAGCATTTTTAACATAGCACCAAGCAGCAAGTTTATCGTCTTCATCAAGACGTTAGTGAGCCCCAGTTGCAACAAAATAGATGCTCCATTTGTTTGAGCCTCCATCTATTGAGGTAAGCAGTGAGAAAATAGAGCCTTGATTGGATAGCATGCCAAAATATGTCACTTCCACCAAGGCTAAACCTCTTAGGGGGGTCGATGGTGCAGGGGCAGTTTGTGAAACTAGCTGCTCAATGCTGATTGGCAAACATACTTTTCTGATTTCTGACTAACAGTGGTCAGAAAGGTACTGTAGGAGGTTTTCCTCATGAGTTGAGAGGGAAAAGTGATCTTTTAATCAGAAAAGTAATTTTGTGCTGAATTCTTAGAGAGCGCTTCACTCAGTTATGTTAGTAATTACTTTAAGTTGAATTCAGTAACATAGGACTGATTTATATAGTTTTAGTTCAGATTAAAATAAGTCTACTGAATAATAGAAATAATTTATAGAGTCCATCCTCAACATACTTGAAGTATTTTTAATCACTACTTGCCTGCCAATGTTGATTTTCCTCTCTCTCACCGTGTATCAAAGCATCAATATGCAATTTGTCTTTGGTAGCAGTTGGTAGCGTAGTTCAAGGAGTGGGCTGATGCACTATAGCATCTTACCTGGGGCTAAGCCCCCAATTATAAGGTTCTAAAGACGTCCCTGATTTGCAAGTCTTAAAAGGGGATTAAGCATTGAACTGAGAGTATCCTGAAAGTATCTTTTTTTCCTATAGTTTTAAAGGCTCACGGATATAAACAAAAACAGAGGTGGGCTCACTAGCCTTAAATCTGCAAAAGTCAGCAATAAGGTGGATAATGAATATAGTGTGCTGGTATTTAATTAAAACATATAAAAACACACATATAAAGCATAGTGTAGTATATAAACTGCTGCAATCAATTCACTGTTATTTGTTTCTCCAGATCTGGGAACACAAAGTACAGGGAATTTGTTGTGAATTCAATTCAGTTCAATTCAATTTAGTTTATTTACATTGCGCCAATTCACGACATGTCATAAAAATGCGCTTTACAGGAGACAATTCAACCAGATCATACAGTCAGATTGGATGTTACCAGATACATCTGGTAAAATAGATAATATAAATATGAAATTACCAACAGTTGATTGGTTAAATTATATGCCGCAAATTACTTTTTTTCCTCATATTTTATTTTCTTGTATTGTGTGGAAAAAAACATTTCAAAAATTTTCACGGTAGTGGAAATAAACTAATTTTGCCAAAATAAAAATCCAAAAAGGGCATTAATTGGGGTTGGACAGTGGCATCACATGATATTTTGACTAGTTGGTGCAACTAGTTGGTGCAACCAGTGTGTTTTGTGAGGAAAAATGACAACAAAAACAACATATTTAAGAATGTAAGCTTTGATGAAAAAGATTTTTCTTGGGTTTGTTATGACCTGCATTGTTTTCAATTAACCCGACTTAACTTTGAAAGGAAGGTTAAGTGTCTTGGGTATTTAGTTAATTCTTCTAAAGAACACAGAAGGGATGTCTACTGGAAGACAAAAAAGTGAGGGCTTTGAATAGGAAATGTTTCCAATTACCACATTTTTTGATGGAGTACAATAACTATACATCTGTCACTTCACAAATCTGGTCTTAGCTGAATAATTAAAGACTACATTTAAATGGGGAAGATTGAATGTTTCCCCCTTTCCACCCTGCAGATTCTCAACCCATTTTATGTATTTCAAGTGTTAAGTCTCGTGCTCTGGATGAATGATGACTATTACTATTATGCTGGATGTATATTCTTCATCTCAGTCTTCTCCATCATTTTTTCACTCTATGAAGCTCGAAAGGTGAGCCCTAAGAACGTATGTCTAAATTTGAGATTCAATTTGATTAATCATTAGAATACTGTTTATCAGCTTTAATTCTTATAACCTCACAGCAAAGAAAAACTATTCGGGACATGGCCAACTCGGTAACAGAAGTCAAAATACGCAGAGAATCAGGGGGTGAGTTTACAACAATGTTCTCAAATTATAGCTTATTTCAGTGTAATCAAGTCAGAAGACAATTTTAGTTGATGATTTTGGTTGAAAGTAAATACGGTATTATGTTTTTTTTAAAGCTGATTCTGTATCAAAACCCAAGCTACTTCATTAATCCTTTCTGTGCTCTTATAGAGGAAGAAAGTGTGAGCTCTGAAAAGCTGGTTCCTGGTGACTGTTTGATCATCCCTGAGGAAGGTCTGGTGCTGCCATGTGATGCTGCCCTGCTGGTGGGGGAGTGTCTCGTCGATGAGAGCATGCTTACAGGTGATAAGGGGTTTCTAAGTTTTGCACCAGCCAGTAGTCATATTTTTGTTTTGTTTTTATAAATTCAAAATAATCAGGCCTAAAATGCATTATTACATGATTATTTGTTTTGACATTGGTTTATTTAACAAGAACTTGATTTAGTTTTGTTAGTAAGAACTCCAAGCCCTAGCAAAGACATAGCTAGAATATTGGCAATGCTCAACTATTTGTTTTACTAAAATGTGGCTCAAGGATCATATCTCGGTTTTCAGCGTCTTTCTGCTAGTCCTGGGTTGGCAGTGCAGATGAACACAAGATAATTATATCCAGGAAGTGTAACTGTAAAGACTGAACACTGCAGACCAGATATTGAACTGGTAGTTTTTTTTTTACATATTATTTGCCCAGAGAATTTAACAGTGTTTTCTTGCTAAGCTACAGAAAAAAAAAACTGCCAAATACATTTAACTGGTTATTGTAATCACACCTCACACTCTGCTACACTGCCAACGTTTCAACAGTTTATGAGCTGCTGTACCACAGAAAACAATACTTTTGACTTGTTTTAAGCAAATGTCAAGAACTCATACATATCTCAAGTAAGGTCTCCTCTTGGGAAATTGGTTAACAATGTTGTGTAAGCCACTAAGACAACCTGCATAAAAAATGTAAGGAGATGGTCACAGGAAGCCAAAGAAGCCCTGGAAGTTTCTTTTGAGGCTACAGACTGGGCTGCACTTTGTCAGCCACATGGAAAGGACATCAGTACAATGACTGAGTGTTTGACTGACAACATTAACATCGGTGTAGATAACACCATCCCTTCCAGAAGTAAAAATGTTCCCAAATAATAAACAAATGATCTGAAGGAATTGCTTAAAAAGAAAAAAAACAAGCATTTCAGAAGGAAGATGGGGAATTAATTATGAGTATACAGGGGAAAAAAACGTCAAGATAAGATAAAGCAAGAAGGCATACATGAAGACATTGGAAAACCAGCTCCAGCAGAACAATATCAGAGATGTTTGGTCAGGAATGAAGAAGAGCACAAGCTTCAAGCAGAAGAATGATCATACAGATGAAATTCTGGACTGAGCCAATGAACTGAATCCATTCTTAAAGAGGTTCAGTTAAGGAACAAGCTCAGCATCCCTTTCACTTGCCTACAGACACATGAACATCCTGCCCTCCTCTGCCATTGACTCTTATGTTGAGTTTGTTGTCCGCCAAATTAGAAGATAGTGCTTTTCTCTCTGCCTTTCACATGTCTGTCTACAAGAGAAGTAAAGAGGCAACTGGAGATACTGAATCGTAATAAGTCACCAGGTCCTGATGGAGTCAACCCCAGAGTCCCAAAGGCCTTTGTAGACCAGCTCTATGGGATTCAACAGCACCTCTTGAACTTTAGTCTGTCCCTGAAGACAGTTCCAGTGATGTGGAAGACCTCCTGCCTTGTTTCAGTACCAAAGAAAACTCAGCCAACAATCCTCAGTGACTTTAGGCCTGTTGCCCTGACATCCAAGCTCATGAAGGTACTAGAGAGACTTCTGTTGGTTGACCCCAGCAAACAAACAAGGAATCATTTGGACCCCCTGCAGTTTGCCTATCGCCATTGTGTTTGAGTTTAAGATGCCATCATACACCTGCTTCAACAAATCAAATGTCATTTAAACATGGACTCTGAGTCCATGGATATCTGAGGTTCAAGTTCTTTGATTTCTCCAGTGCATTTTACACCATTCAGCCTGACTTGCTTTGTGAGAAACTCCAGACTCAGGTGGAGGCATCAACTATCACCGGGATCAAACACTACCTGACAAACAGGCCACAGTTTGTTAGAATGAAAGGTCTTTTAACTCTGTTCACTTCTGACTTCCAGTACAGGGAGCTAGTGAAAACCTTTGTGGCAAGGTCTGGAAACAATCACCTGACCCTGACTGTCAACAAAATGAGAGAAATGATTGTAGATATAGAAGAAGGGAAAACAGGAACAATTTCAACCCTTTTAAAATCATGGAAGAAGAAGTGGAGGTGGTGGAGGTGTATCAATACCTTGGAGTTCACCTGGACCGCAAACTTGAGCAAGTACACTCTGCTTCCTTAGCAGAGTGTACTTGCTAAGTAAGGTTAGGTCTCTCTGCAATTGCAGCAAGATGCTACATATCTTCCATAAGCCGGTTGTGGAGAGTGTGATCTCTTGTATCATCTTCTGAAGTAACAGTATCACTTTAAATCTTAACAAGCCAATCAAGAACTTTTTGGCATCATGAAGAGGGCTATGGAGATGATTTCACGAAGTAAAATTCTTCATATAGTGAAGAACATCATGGACAGCAGTGAACATTCTCTTCAGAAGATTGTTAAACAAAAGGGTGTTTTCAGTAGGAGGGTTCTCCAGATCTGGTGCAAGACAGACCACTGAGAACGCATAAAAATGTGGTAAATGCATAAAATATTTTTATTACATTTAAAAAGTGTTTTCTTGTACACAACTCTCTTATATTTGCCTCAGAAATTTTGAAAATAGAACAGAATATACCCATTAACCACGAGTTTTTTTATGTAAGATTTTTTTAATTTGGGACCCACTTTGACCTGACTTTAAATACTGAATAAGTCTAAAATTAACAGATTTGCTTTTTTATTCTTTGTTTAGGGGAAAGCATATCAGTACTAAAAACCCCGCTGCCAGATGGTGATAGTATCTACAGCTCAAAGACTGCGCTCAGACATACTCTTTTCTGCGGCACTCATATCATTCAGGCAAAGGGTGGAAACGCAGTTGCAGTGGTCACAAGTACTGGTAAGTAGAGGAAACATGGCTTGTCTGCTTTTTAATTGAGGAGTCTTATAAAAGGTGCTGGTGTGTAAGTGCTGACTTCAATAAACCTCATAAAGATTTTTATAAATAGATTAACCTTTTAACCTTTTACAGATACCTAATTTCTTAGTGACATCATATTGTTAATTTCAGTAATTATTCCAGTAGTCAGCTACTTGTTTAT